CCAGCTGCTGCGACGCAATCTCGTTCTCCAAATCGCGGTCGTTAATGTGCGCCGAGTACGATGCAGGCGTCGCGTGCGTAATGCGCGAGGTCGTCACCAGCGCCGTGTGGAAGCCCTTGGCCTTCGCGCCCTCCATAACTGTACCACAAGGGACCTGGTCAATGTCTACACCAATGTAGCCATTGACGCTCTTCATACCACACGAGTAGGCTGTCGCACTGGCCGCCGAGTCAGTCACCAGCGAGTCTGTCGAACGTGTCCGGATCGTACCAACAAGATGCTTGTCCAGCGGCAGACGTGCATCCCATGTCTGGTTCTTTTGGGCATGCAGGTAGTTGCGCGCCAGCGTCTCCGAAGCAGGACCAAAACCGTCACTGATCATCTGGATCATCGAGCGCTTGGACGCGGCCTCTGCGGATGCCAGCATCAGTGCCAGCAATACCGCCGTCGAGAACAGGTTGGAGAAGATCATCGCTGCTACAAGGCTGCAGTACTGTCGTACGACATTTCTGCTCTTTTATACTCACTCATATTCCCACAACCGGAACGTGCAACGTGAGTGTTGCCAAGACATGGATTGACTTTTGGCTGAGCTCGCACGTGCAGGGCAAGGCCAAACAAATAGAGATCGAAAGCCATATCGAGAGCAGCTATTAGTAGCAGCCGTATTTGATTGGCTCTCCCCCAGCCCCTCTCCAGGCTGGGGGAGAGTGCAAGTCTTTTTTCTCTTTTGGCGCCTTAGCACGTGGGTAAACATCCTGGGACCCCACCTGCGTGTGTATACCTTACTAAAGCTTAGCTATTTTCGCATGTATGGTGATGGGCGCGGGGGAGAGTGACTGGGCGGGGTGATATGAAAAGCGCCTTTTTCTCGCCGGGGAGAGATAAAGTTTTGGGTTGGCGCAGCGACTGGCCTTCGTCAGATGTCGGTGTCGCGCTACAGCTTCGGGTGGTATCCCAACAAGGTCCTTGCGCTTGTCAATGCGATTCAGCAGGTTGGCTGGTCAGCCGTAGGCGCTATCACAGGTGGTCTTGCGCTCATTGCCGTTGCCGATGGCAATATCTCCGTGGCCGTGGGTATCATTATCATTGCCTCGGCGGCCTTGGTCATTGG